AAGCTGCCCCGAGGCAAGGGAGGGTTCTTCTCAGAACCTCTGCCCAGAGGCCCTTCTGACTGTCCGTCTGCAGGGAGGGGGCCTGTGAAGAAGTGAGCTGATGCTTTGGTCTGAGGTCTGGCCTCTGAGACTGTGAACCAATACACTTCTGTCGTTTCAGCCCCGGAGTTTGTGGCACTTTGTGAGGGCAGACCTAGAACACCACTACAGGCTGTCCCCAGGATGTGTGCACGCACTCTGAATAATGATAAAGGTGTGTTTATTAAAATACATTTCATTTTCACAACTGAGCTCTCAGCTGTTCAAGTTTTTGGAACACCCTGTATGCTGAGTTAAATATATTATTAAATTAATTTTATCCTTTTTTTAATATCCCCTCTTCAAGAGGCCCTGACTCTCCCCTCTTCAATGCCCTATAGACAGGTGCATGGGTTTCCAAAAAATTGTGCAAACCCATTTTAAACACAACAAGCCCATTTTTTACCACATAATGTGGGGGGTAAGGTGTTGTGGACCTACAGGAACCTCCTGCCGTTATACATAATCTGTAATAATAAAAGCGTAATATGCTAATTAGACACGACAGCCAAACGATCTTCTGGATGTCTTTCCGGATGACCTTCCGGACGAAGCCGGGGCTGTGAGGGACAAGCCCCTTGCGTGAATTTCGTGCATCGGGCCTCTAGTTATTAATAACAAACTACAACATTCGCTATTGACTGATTGCTATAATCGTGTTGTATTCATTTCTCTTACACCCCTTATGCACAGCACACCATTTCTCTTCACTAACACTAGCAGCGAATATTTTAGCAGCCAATGGCCACGTCATTAGTCTTGGACTGACATGTTTGGTGTGCGCAACAGGAAATATTTCGCTTTCTGAGAACAACAAAAATAGGTTTATTTGCGTTGTGCTTATTAATCTGTGCAGTTATTCAGTGTCTGGTAAGTTAATGCTCAAGAAAAAATAATAATTTTTATTAAAATGTTCTATTATTTTATGTTAACGAGCACTCATTTATCAGCCCTTTGTGTTCAGCATGTCTCTATCGAAATAAACCTACGTTTCTATAAAAATGGAAGCTTGTTTTTTTGTGGCCACATACACCTAAACCTTCTTTATTTGACCTGTGCTCGCCTTTGAGTTTGACATGCTTGGACTGAGGGGTCCCAGGCTGTGGGCTCTATCTCCAGTAGGGGGCGTGCAGGTGGCAGCTATCAGTGATTCTTATTGATGTTTCTATCTATCTCTCCCCCTCCCTTCCTCTCTGATATCAATAAAAATATATTTTTTTAAAAAAAGAGTTACAGTGGAGGTGGACAATGGCGGAATCTGGGAGAGCGCATCACTTATTGGACTTTTTCTCTGAAGTGTTTTTGTTTGAAGAATAGCTTATGCAATCCTGCTTTGTTTGGGCAACAAGCACCAAGGAGATGAGCCCTCGGTAAGATCGTAAGTCAGATGCCTTTAGCTTCCCGTCACTCCCCTGAGACCCGCCCGACTGCCCCGGCCGCGCTCCGTCCGCCTCTGATGCCAGCCAGCGGGAGGAGCTGGTTCCTGGCATGTTAATGACTCCTCACCAAGAGAAAACGTTGACTGCAAGAAAACAAAACCCACTCAAACCAGATTAAGTGAAGACAGGCAGACTGTCAGCATGCGGAGGAAACGCAAAGACAGCCAAAGGCAGGCAGCCCCCCTGTGGGCTGGAGGTGAAACTGAAAGTGGTTTTGGGAAGGCAGGCTGCTTTTCCCTGCACTTCTCTGCAGTTTCAGTCATCTCGCTCCACGTCTCTACTTTCCCTCCAGCCTCCCCTCTGCCTGCCCTCTCCCACATGGTCCTCACATGGTCTGATGCTGGGACTGTTCAGTTAAGCACCTGCCTCATCTAACAAAAATCTGCACCTGATTCACCTTTGTC